GGTGTGTGTGTGTGTGTGTGTGTGTGTGTGTGTGTGTGTGTGTGTGTGTTGTGATAGTCAGGTTTTACGTCTCTCGTGATAGGGTCTAACGTGGGGTGGTCAGCTCCAGGATGGCTCTTCTGTGAAGCAGCCAAGCAGCGGTGGGAAAATGAAGGTAGGGTACCACCTCCTTAATCTGGTCACAGACTTGATACAATGGGAGGGGGTATCATTGAAGGCATGACTGACTCTTGGTTCCAATTGACAGGGTGGAGAAGCTAGCTCACTTATGCTGCATCTAGATCCTACATCTGGTTCACAGACCTCTTGTTCCATCACCTGCTGATCCCAGGAGCCATTAGCAGCTTGCCGACGCTGGATGCATTCAGCCAACCTTGGACTCATTCAGCTCTGCATATGCCAGCCTGTGATCTTCCTGCTTCATCGTCCTGCTTCCAGCCCACCAGCCCCCTCAGCTCCAAGAGTCAGGAGAAGCTTCCCACTTACATCTGGCCCATGAACTTGAACCAGAGTGGACTTACCCACTTCTGCAATGGTGTGAGCCATTTCCAGATATAAATCTTGTTCGACAGACATTCACATAAGAGCCTGATTGATTCTGCTTCTCTGGAGAACCCAGACTAGCGAACATATGTGACACTACTACAGTAAGAGAGAAGTCTTCAATCAAATCCAAACCAAGGCACCCTGAGGGAAAGCAATGCCCCGTGAAGACCCCGGGGTTGTAAAGCACCTGCGTGGTACACAGAGAACAGTGGCTCCATCCAGCCACAGACCGAGGGAGTGTCCTCCCTTAGGCGGCAAACAACTTCCAACTGTTAGAATCCAAGAAACCGAGAGCTTGGCCCAGGCATTCCTTGGGTCATAGACAGAAAAGGTTCAGTCGCTAATCTTTGCTCAGGATACAACACACCCGCGTTGCGGACTTGGAAATCAGGAAGCAAAACCACAGAATTTAGAAACCAAAGATCACAAATTTCAAGGCGTCATTTAATAGATGGGGGAAATAAGGTTCTAATAAATGAAGCGATTAGCTACCGAGAAAGAAAATGACTTGCTCAGAGTTACTCACGGGAGGCCAGGTCACACTGTGACTCCCCCTCCCCTCCAGCAGTGGTTTCAACCATTTCTACAAGGACGACAATCAGTGACACAGATGACCGACCGATCCAGGTGCACCCATTCTCACCCTCCTTTCAGAACTGTTCCTCCTCCTGGAACACGCGCTGCCCTCTCAGCTTCCCATCTCACTCCCAAGTGGCTTTCGTCAGTTTTAGCCCATCTCCAGCTGAACTCACTGCCATCCAGTCAATGCCGGCTCACAGCCACCTAGTGTGGTTTCTGAGACGACAACTGCTTACGAGAGCAGAAAGCCCAGTCTTTCTCCCTCGGAGCTGCTGCTGGTTTCGAACTGAAGACTGTGTAGATCGCAGGCCAACATGTCACCTCTACGCCCCAGGGCTCCTTTTAGCTAAGTCTTAAAAGAGCACAAGAGGCAAGAAAGGCATTACTTGCTAATGAAGCTAAACTGTTTAGTTAAAAGATTTATTCAGGGAGTCATTTTGCTTATGATCTCACGTTAACGATGGTCTCGGGGTAGTATGGGGTTCCAGGGAGCCTCAGTAGCTCCAGAAAATCTGTGTTGCAAGAGAATGTTAAATCCTGTTCTGAATTTCCCCACTTCTGGTCGAGATGTTTCCATTGACGCTTGGATCAAAACACTCAATAATGGTGGCCAGGAGCCACCCGGTCCGGCCCTCACGGCAATGGAGGTCATCGCTCACAGAGGGACATGCCTGCGTGCTGCAGGTCTCCCTTCCGGTCCCAGCTCTCCAACTCTCCTCCTTCCTCCTTGGCCAGGCAGAGAGCAGCTGCTGTGCCTTGGATGGCCACGGGCAAGCTTTTAGGACCACAGGCACTGGGACATGACGTAGCAGGTAGACCCAAAGCATGTAAGCATGCTCTTAAAGAAGCCTAACCTTTTGACTGCAAAAACAGCGCCATTCGCACCCCATCCCGCTATGGAGTGAGGAAGTGGCCGTTTGGTGGAGGTCACAACCACACGCCCTGGTGCCTGGCCACTAGGTAGTACTGCCCTCCCCACCACCTGGGCGCTGTGTCTGGGGGGCTCAGTTAACGCATAGAGATGGGTGGAGACTGCTGCTTGGTGGAAATACTTTGAAAGACTCTCCGGGCGGTGAATAAAAGGAAGGTTTCATCTTCCGGTCTTCTTGGTGGATCCTCAGGGCTCGTGTGCCATCAGACGAGGCCCCACAGCCAGAAGCGCCACACTCACCGTGGAACCAGGGAGCGATCGCATCAGAGGTTTTCTGGTAGCCGGCTCGCAAGGGCAGCTGGTCCTCTTTAAACCACCGGATGATGTCCTCCTGGGCGGAGCTGGGGGCCGTCCTTGCCGCTCCCTGATGCCTGTTATTGGAAACAGATTTAACGTGCATGAAAATAATGCCTTCACAAATCATACTTTGTCTTTCCATCTCTCGTTCAAGAGCTAATCACATGGGCTGAGCTAATAGGCTAAACGGGGACAAAACTAGTCCACGATGCCTCGAGGGTAGAAAATGGAAGGAATTTACTGGCCCTGCAAGCTCTACACAGCCAGTTATGAGACTGAGCCACTGCTGTGTTGATGTATACATTTTTAAATCCACGCTTAGTATGAATTAGCAGTTCCATTAGCTCCCACCCAGGACGTGAGAAAATGGCCGTTAAGAGCTGAAATAGACCCCAGACACCTCCTGGCACTATTTTCCTGAGGAGTGTAGATTTGCAAACAAAAGAAAGCAGATGTAATACAACAATGTCTTCCCTAAAGTTGACATTATCCACCTTCTCTGCTCTCACTAACCTGTCTGCTTGATTTCTTCTTTTCCCACCTTGAACAGGCGAGAGCTGCCGACTGAAAGACCAGTCTCAGAAACACCCAGTACACGGCAGAAGAGCGTTTGAGGATTGGTAAGGAGCAGAGAGAGCCGGCAGAATAGTTATGAACTGAACTCTCTAGAACCTAACTTCTAGGCTGTAAGTCCGTTTGCAATCCCAAAGCAACAATGCAGTGCCCACCATTTCCAAGCCTACGGATCAGCTCGCTAACTCTGAGCAGAATCTGGCATTAAAACAACAGCAACAAAGATATCGGATGATCCACTGGCATTTCCTGGAATGTAAGTTGTTATCGCATGGCTCTCGGTGCTTTTCTGGGGCACATACGAACCAGAGTTACATCTTAAATCACAGAAGGGGGCTTCCGAATGCTCATGGAAAAGTGGAATGAAAAGATCCTTGAGTGTGTGTGTGTGTGTATTTTGTGACGCTTTCTCATGTGCGGGAGGTAAGACAAGGATCTCTAATCCTATAGAGAGACAGCCTTGGAAACCCACACAGGCAGTTCCGTCCTAACCTGTAGGTCTGCTGGGTTGGAAATGGGCTCGATGGCAGTGAGTTTTCATTTTTCTCGTGTATGTGTATGTGTATAAGTAAGAGTTGAAAAGTTCCATTGTCTTTTAATTCCAATTTCTCCCAATGTGTTGAAGCCCCCTCATACATACATATGTGTGTCTATAACTGTCTCTTTCCTGTAGAATCTATGCCGACCCTTGAGATCCTCCTGGACAGAGTAAAACTGTCCCACTGGGCTTCCCAGGGAGTCCCAGAGTCTCCCTATGGGAGGAGGGGACCTCATCTTCTGTGAAACAGCTGGCTGGCCTAACCACTGTGCCACCAGGGCTCCTGTGTGTATGCATACACCCATGTGGGTATGTATACACATGTGTATGTGTGCATTCACGTGCATGTGAATACTCATGTCTATGTCCAGATCCATGTGTATAGCCATGTGTATGTACGCACACCTGGGGTTTGCATATCCCTCAGGTTTGCCCAGCATTTTGGAGGACCATCCTATGACCTCCCTGGGAAACACGCTCTGCATTCACGAGTGCGGTGAGTCTGTGGAAAAGTCCCACCCTAGCTTCCCCAGGGGGCTCTTCTTCACTGTCAATTCCTTGGTGACGGAGTAAAATTCCAAAGGCAGTGGTGGCACCAGCCTGTGTCCCTGACCTGGAATCCCTCGACGCACTTCTTGCAGTGTCTGAGATTGGAAAAAAAGAGCTCACCACCCAGATTAACCCAAGAACGGCCCTTTTTGAAGACTGCCTTCATGGCTGCCCATCAAATACACTGTGTTCCCAAAAACACTGCAGGGAAAGGTCACATTGGAAGTCGTATTCCTCTGTTTCCTGGGGGAGAGTCAGGAGAGCAGGCGTGAGTGGCCAGCAGGCCACGTGTTTGCCAACAGAGCCAAGGGTCGGCAGTGGAGAAAGGAGGACGCCAGCGGCTAAGGGCACGCCTTATGCCCGGCGGTGCCCCAAACTGCAGGGGTCACCCGTTTCCTGGCTGCTTGTTTTATTTTGTTGTCAAAAATTAAAAATAAAAATAAATCACTGCCCAAACTGTCCCTTTGTAGAACATGGTCATTTTGCGTGGGTCCCCGAATGGAAGTGTTCAACTGAGTAAGTAGGAATAATTACAGAGGAGAAAATGTTCTACCTTCACATTTCCTCTGAGATCATCCGTCCCGTTACAAAAACACCCAGAAAGTTAAGGATAGGCTCCGGGCAACAGGGGAGGCCCGCTCCTCGTCACTTCCCACCCTGAATGGAGAGGCCGTCTTCCTCTTCCTGTGGGCAAGGCTCTGGGCAGTTCTCTTCAATTCAGTCAATATTTGACTTCCAACTGTTTTCTTTCTGAACAGAGCTCGATAGTGTTTTATATTAAAAAATGGAAATGGAATCTTATGAAATAGCTCTCGAGTCCACAAACCTCGGAGGAAGGAGTTTTCTGCCGTGCCGTGTCCGGATTTTCTACTGGGATTTGCTAAAACCATCTCTGGCTCTTCCTCATTTCCCCATGGTGGCAGTGGTGGCAGTGGCGGTGGTGGCAGGGGCGCCAGAAAGAGCCGCCTCTCCCAGTTCTTAAGTCCTCGCCTTGGCAAGGCCTCTGAGAATGAGAATGGCTATGAAGCCCTTAGCCAAATGGACACGGCAGTTCCAGCTCATCACGTGGGCATCGGCACGCCCTCTTGCCACCAAGGCTCATCTCACCCCCTGATGAAACCCGGCCATTTCCTCTTCTTCCCACGCCAGCCTGCCTGCTGCCACTGGGAGGCGTGGGGTGGGGATGGGCACGAGGCACAGGGAGTTCTCAAGAATGAGACAAGAGAGGCAGCAGCCAAGACCAGGGCCATTGTGCCAAGCACCCAACTCTATGCTCACGTTCATTAAGTTACTGGCGATCCTCATGAGAACCAGTGGCGAGTTTGCAGGTACGAAGTCATACATTCCTAACCAAGGATCTCAGGAAGACGGGGCTAGAGGGGAGGATGAAGATAATTGCTTAGGCAGCCAGCTGGCCCTCTAATTCCCATGGCCCGTCACACAATCAGCCTTTAATCAGCCCAGTTCTGTGGGGCTTCTTACCTGAGAGTGTTTATGGAGTATACGTGTGGGTTTAGGAATTGAGGCTTGGGTGGGAGGGGCGGTCTTTTTGGTTTCTGTGCAACACTCGGGTGGCTGTGGAGCCCCTCGCTGCTTCTTCCTTTTTGGGCAGCGAGGGACAGCCTCTTATAGTCTTCCCGAGCTTGTTTCGCCAAGGACCGTCTCTTCTCATCAGCTGCTTTGGATTTCCGCACTGGAAAAACAATGGGAGAAGAGGCCTGCGTCAGTCCGCGGGGGTGGTCGGAAGGGTCCGTGCTACCCAACAGCGAAGAGAGCTGGGCTCTCGGCAGATTCATTATGGTTTCTCTGTTCACGCCTGCCCAGGCTTTGTGGCAGCATCCCTGCGTCTTAGGGCGTCTGTGGGTTCTTTAAGAGGGGGAAAGAAGCGGGAGGAGAACAATGCGTGCTAGAAGGTGCTGTGTCTAGTGAGAGCAAGTGATGAGTCAGCCTGAGGGTGAGGGTTTAAGAAGACCTGTCATCCCATCCCTCGTGCACTGGTGCTCGGGATGCTGCGTGCCCTGAGTCACCAGGATGGTGTCAAGCACCGCTCAGCGACTCTGGGTGCAGACAGGGTCTGGGTAGCGAAGCAGTCCACAGGACTCGCTCTGGTCCCACACGAGCTGAACCAGATGCGGGTCAACCTATCAGACAAAAAATAAATACAAGTGACCTTTAACCACAGATCATTGTAGCACACTCGTGACAGTAGCTAAAAACGAAAAAGCACACTCACTGCCAGCGAGCTGGCATCGACTCTTAGAGGCCCTGGGGCAGAGGAGAACTGCCCCTGTAGCTTTCGGAGACTCTGTGGAAGGAAGCAGAAGTCTTATCTTTCTCCCACGGAGCGGCGGGTGGTTTTGAACTTGTGCCTTGCAGCTCCCCCAGCATGCAACGATGCCACCAAAGCATCTACGGCTGCCTCCCTCGGGGCTTTGAACCCGTTCATCCCGGTTCAAATCCCTGCAGAGAATGTGCATTCCATTCCAGATGCACTGAATCAGAATCTACAGTTCAACAAAATTCCCAGATGATTCTTACAGATCCCCTGGCATTTCTTGTACTTACAGAAGAGTCCAAGAGATGCCCCCAAACACTCCATTATCCTAGAACGTCATTGCACAGAGCAGTATTTCTCAAAGTGGCCAATACCACCCCTACAGGGCGCTGGGACAAAGGGCGAGTGGGGTGGGGGGTAGGGGGCGGACAGCAAAAGCAGATGCCGACACTGGATCCTGGATTATGGGCTGTACCACAAAAGTTCTGCATGGTCAGGAGGCACTAAGTCTTTGTTTTAATTAAAAGGAGGTGGTGGGCCTAATAACTCAGGGGGCCTATGGCACAGAGACTAGAAAGACCCATGACTGGATATTCTCTATGTTTCCCTTTCTCAGACACTGTCATTTTAATGGTATTTGTTGCAATGGGATTACAGAGCAGTTTGAGGTTCTCAACACCTTTCAAATGCTGTAGCTGCAGATTTCTCACCCCCAGAAGCCCCAAGAGGGGACCTGGCCGGTGTGGATGGCTTCAGGGTCCTGGGTCACACAGATACCCTATCTCAAACCTGGAGTCTCCTAGCCTCCTTGAGCATCTTCTGCTCTGCCCTCATTTGCACTGGCCAAGTCTCCTCCCCGAGGTTTATTTCTGGCAGCACTGCCTCAACAGTGAGTCAGGTGTTGGGTCACAGGTATGAATGAATGCTAACCTATTCAACCCATTTTGACTGTGTTTCTGATTCCAAATTAAAACGGGTGCACTTTAGAAATTTTAGACAATCGAGAACAACAAAAAGAAGAAAAGTAGATTCATCTCTACTCCCCGCTCTGTAAGCAGACAGATGTTAACGTGTTGCTTTGGCATCTTCTAGGAAGCCCTGTGGTCACTACAGTTAATCACTCAGCTAACAAAAGGTCAGCAGTTCAAACCCCTCAGGTGCTCTGTGGCAGAAAGACACGGCAGTCTAGTTCCATGCAGATTACATGCATGCTCAGGTCATTAAATGCTCTCCCATCTCAGCTATAACTGAGAGTCTATAAAGGTGAGTGGAAAACCTTTCTGTTACTCAGCAAGTTAGCCTGTAAGCATGTCATTAGTCCCTGGTGCTCCAATATTTCGCAGAGCGAGCAGGTAACGAGGTGGAGGAATCCGCTCAGAGGCGAAGGCCACCAGGTACTCACGAGATGCCTGCCACTCGGAGTCCTCCTTCCAGTTCTTATAAATCTGCTTGGTCCTCTCTTCATCGATTTGCTTTATTTCCTCATCTTCCTTTTTCTTCAAGGATTCTTTCTTCTGTTTGAACGAACAGAAACAGGCACTGGTGAGTGGGTCGGGCAGTTTTCCAAGAAGACCAGGGCACGCTGGTTACTCTTTAACTCTCATTGTGTTGTGGGAAAAGCGCAGGCTTGGGAAGCAGCTATGCCTGAAGCCAGCTCGAGTTCTGCTCAGTGGCGTGACTCAGAGAGCGCGGCACAAGCTGGCTCAGGATGTGTCCTCCACCTGTGAGACCAGAAAACCATCTCACCGGCCTACGAGTGCTCCATAAGTGCCTAACACAGTGTGAACTTCAAAGCAGCTAACTTTACATGGCCTGCACATGTGCCTGAACACACAGCACGAACACATGATTTTAAGTGGCTCAAAAACGAGTCGTTTTTGTCTTCATAAAACAGGAAACCTAAAAAACGAGGAGCTGATACCAAGGGCTGAAGCAGAAAGAACATGATTTGAGAATGATGAGAGTA